ATGTCATGCATCTGGAACCAGTCCTTATCATCAAAAAGGGAAAACACCCAGCGTTTTTCTGCAGCAAAGCATGTATGAAACAGAGTTGTTGCCCAAGCGATTTCCCTCCCTCCTGACTTAGGCTTTCAGAGAGCACTTGCAGCTGCTGAGCATTGTCAGAAACTCAAGCCAGAAACTTGGGTCGTGGTTGCCATCTCTGTGCCATGCAATCTACAGGCATTGCCGGGCAGTTCCAGGATCCTGAGCACAGACCCCCTTGGGCCACACAGAACCAGAGCCCCCAGCACACCAACCGCCTGGCAACCTGCTCGTGGGGCTGCAGCCCCGGCCTCTCCCTAGTCATGACATCCCGGTGACTCCACTGCCACCTCAGGGGCCTCCAAGCCTGTCCCCTGCCTCCTCCTGCCCCGGCCATGTCCCTGAGGTGCAGCCACCTCAGAGCCAGCCCAGTGGAAATGTTGTCCAGAAAAAGCTGGATTTGTTACCTGGTATGCAACTGGCCGATAATTACACACATGAGAGAGACATGGATTATTTATTTCAGAGCTCTGCAAGCCTGGGTGCTCGCTGGTATTCCACAAAGCAAGTACACCCACTATCAAAACTTTGTACTCTTTATACATTTTTGCAAACAAAGGCATTAATGTTCCTTCGCTACAGGTGACATGGTTCTCTTATTACTTATTATTCTATCTTCTACTGGTTAATGATTCCCTCACTTCTCTTGCTAATTAGTCCAGATGTCCAGTCTTTCTCTTCTTTTGGGTCAGTGGGTTTCTTGGCTCAGCGGACCCTNTGAAGTGCAGATGCCCCTCTACCATACAATCTATGTAAAAGCATTACAGCTCCTTCTGTATCTCATGAAGCTTAGCATTCAATGCAGAGGCATCAACTACTTAAGCTACAGAAGGGAAGACAAGAGGAGTACAGCTGAGCTGACAGAAAGAAACACAGAAAAGAAGGGACTGATTAATCATGCCTAGGAAGATCAGACCATTTGATTGTACTACAGGTGTTTGTACTGCATTTCCTTCTTTCAAGGACAACTCTGTGCAGTGTATGACCTTGCTTTGAAGATATCACAATAAGTAACAGAGAGAAAAGAAATCATCTGGTTCTGTGTTTTTAGGTTTTGAAAGACCATGGACAAGACTTTCTTGTTGGCAACCGGTTAAGCAGGGCAGATGTGCAGCTACTTGACATCATTTTAATGGCAGAAGAGTTCAAGCCTGATATCCTTGCCAAATTTCCTCTCTTGCAGGTAAATGAATGGACAATGCATTGGAAAGGACCACTGATTTGAACTGGCTGAGAAACAGGGGAGAGTGGGAGGGTGAGGAGAGAAGTAACATAGAAAATAACCAAATATGCTAAGTACTTTTAGCTGGCCTCAAATACTGATGGTTATTGCCAGCTTCTGTCTTTGCAGCCAGAAAAGCATAATAGAGGGAACCATGTAGTTTCTTCTGCAGCATCAATGCATAATGTTACTTTTAGAGCATGGATAGCATCGAAATGTCTGACAGTTACAATGCTTCTTAAGCACAGTGCTGTTTTGGTTTTGTTTTGTAGAGTTTTAAAGCAAGAATAAGCAATATCCCTGCAATAAAGAAATTCCTGCAGCCTGGCAGCCAGAGGAAACCACCAACACCAGAGGAAGATATACCCAAAGTGCTGGCAATTTTCTACTGAGCAGCCTAAAGCCACAGAAACTCTCATTTCAATGTGTTTGCTGATAGTGGCAAAGGGAAATGAATGAAAACAGTGAAAAGGTTGTTGATCTCTCTTTCCTTAGCTACAGCACTGGTTTGAGCCTACTGTTAACACTTCCTAGGGAAATCTCTACAAGCATACCAGAAAATGGAATAGTTTACTGATTGGGCGTATATTGGACAACACATGGTATCTTAAATGACTAAAGAGAATACCTGAAATAAAGTCTTACTATTGACACAAACCCAGGATGCTAATTGACTTTTTGATGCTACTTATATAGCTAAGGGCTCTTTGGTTCTGGCATTCCTAAGAATTGCTGGAAAGTGACGAGAGTTTAGCCCAAACAGTAGGTGATGTACCTGTTCTGGGAAATGCCAGGAAAAGCATGCAGGTTCCGGTTAGATGGGGATGATTGCTTTGATTCAGCTTTCCTCCGAGCTTAACTTGTACTTAAGCTGTTCACTATAATCACATAAATCAAGTTCTGCTACTGAGAGGTTAGCAAGACAGTAGAACACATAACTGTGTGTCTTGGTCTCAGGAAAGCTGTCCCTGCCCATGGCAGGAGGGTCAAAACTAGATGTTCTTTAAAGTGCCTTCCAACCTAAACTATACTATGATTCCACGATATTGTTTAAACACCAAATAAACCCAGGATGTAAAGGAAAGAGCAAGTGCCCTAGGAACAAGTAATGCTCTAGTGCTGGGCACTTTTAAGCTGGGCAAATTCAGGGCACTACAGCTCCTGCTAACACCAACAGTTTCTTCACAAGCAATGTCATGCATCTGGAACCAGTCCTTATCATCAAAAAGGGAAAACACCCAGCGTTTTTCTGCAGCAAAGCATGTATGA